AATAAATTAATAATAAAATAAAAAAAGGAAATTCATTTTCCTATGATGCAAGTTATAAAGAAACCGGAAAAGGTTTTTGATTACATGTGCGATTTTATAACTCCTATCCGGAAAGGAGAGAATCTCTTTCTTTTTCATTTTCCAACGCCATCGTTCGGACGTGTTTTGGCAGTAAGTAAATTGATTGTTCCAACTCACCGCAAAGCTGATTTGATCTCGACCATTTTACCTGTTGCTATCCTGACCTACATCTAAACCAAAAAAGAAAACGGACATACCAAAGAGACATTGAGAACTTTATTTCACTGCAGCCACCGTAAATGGGATAAACGTCCATAGAAGAAATTCAAGTTATTGTATGATTCTATCCTTAATTGTTTACACATACGAGCACGCACATTCACCTAAAATACACACAAACACGCAACCTTCTAACTTCCATAGCTTCTTTGAAAAATAACTTATACGATAATAATTAGGTTTGCACTATTCATTTTATAACATTCGATTAGAACGCCCAAAACTGAAATTGTTAGAGACCATAAAAAAGATTAATATTTTGATTTTTAATATAAAACCAACAAAACATGTTTTCATGTGACAAGCACAAGATGAAAAACATCTGAAACCGCGTCTCATCAGTTAATTTACAAGATTTAATAAGGGGCACGTTATCGGCACACACAAGAAATACTTTTACTGTTTATTTTTCTTTTAGCTTAAACATTTTTGACATATTTAAAATAGACGTCTACTTATATGACGATGCAAATAGACGAATGTATATGATTCTTTTTAATGTTCTATATTCGGTGACAGAATTTACCGTGGTCGGTAATAAAGTCACAAAAAAGTCACAATTTCTTGATGTGACCGACGATCAGCATTGAAAATGATCCATTCCTTTAGATTCAAAAATTCTCAAAAGACAATGAATCTTTGAGTTTATTAGGAAATTGTAATGAATATTAGTGAGGATGCAGTAATTTTCTATGTATATATTTTCTTTTCGGGTTATTAAAGCATTTAAAAAAATATAATGTTAAAGGAAGTTTAAATATTGAAAAATCTAAATAAAAATGAAATAAAATTTTCAAATAGAATTGTGACCAAAAACGATTTGGCAATCTATATATTACTACGCGTATACCTATGTATGGAGTGTGTCACACTTGGTATCACAAATACCGAAAGAAAACAAAAAAAAAAAGAAGAGAGAGACGTATAGCGACAAAAAGAGAGTATAACACAGTCAAACAGAGAGATTAAATGGGTCATCTTTAAATAAAGGCAGTTGATTGTAGTGAGGAGTTAAAAATGCTTCGTGAACTTTTGAAAATCTTTTAAAACTCTTGTTTTTTCAATCTTACTTTCGCATTTCTTTTCCAATTCATACACGTTTACTTCATTACAATATAATTATATCCGTTCTGTAAAATTCAGCTTTCACAACACGGGTGCAATCGACTTTAATTTACCGTATGATTTTTTTAAAGTTTATTTTAGATAAACTGTTTTAGAGAAATAGGTACTTCCAAAACATCGCTAAAAAAGAAATTATATGATTTAAAATATGCCTCTAAGATAATTAAAAATATTTCATCGTCAAAGTCTTTCTTATTTTTAAAAGGAAAAATCCAAGGTTTTTTTTAATGTAAAAACGATTTGTTTTATCCATTTTAGTTCCTTTGAAAATTGGTTATTTTTTTACTCCAAAACGTGACACGAAAATTCTGAGCGCTTCTTTTACGATGAGAAAAACATTGATTTGGAAATTATTGCAAAAGTCAAACAATTGTCAGATTTTAGTGAAATTTTTAGGATTTATTCAGAAATGAATTAAATTATTTTTCAAATGTTCTGTTTTTAGAATATCTTTGTAAAAAAATATTTTTTTTACATCTGTTAACCCCACTAATTAATTTTATATCATTTCGATGAATTCTGTTTTCATCGCTTATGTATATTAGTTATAAGGACAAGTCATCGGAGAAATTAAATACTTTTTCGTCAAACAAAACACACAGTTACAGAAAATTTGCCTGAATCGTAAAATAAAAAATGCATTAAAGCTCAAACATTTTTTAATTAGAAAAGCTTTTAATTTTTGTATTTGGTAATCATAAAGGGAAAATCTCATTACTGTTCAACGACTCCCCAGTATTTTAAAAAAATAATTTCCACTTTATGTGTGTGTGTATGTATAAACGTGTCCATTTTCATAAATACGAACATCCATACACGACATCATCTAAAAGATAAAAGCGGTAACTATAATAAATTTAATATTTATTGGTGATTTTCTAATATTTTCTCAACAAGTGTCTTCGTAGGTAACGCTATAAACCCCCAATACCTAAAATTCAATAAAACATTAAAATAACATTGGAATTGAAATTGCAATTAAAGATTCCAGAAATATTTTTTTCATTTAAAAACAAATAATTTTAAATTTGAGGTATCACTTTTTAAAGGAGATATCGATATAAAATATATTTTAAATAAAATTTAGATTATCTTAAAATAAATCTCAAATAGTACTTAAATATCCCTAATCAACGACAGTTCTTAATTTTCTGGATATGTCCTAAGATATGAGCAGGAGACATTTTATGTGTATGTGTTTGTGTGTGTGTATTCGGGTTAAACTCCTAAATTGCAACATTTATACAAAAATGAAATAAAACTGAAAATGAATTAAAAGAATCCATAGACAATTAAAAAAATAAATATTATTAGATTCAAATTAAAAGTTCTTAGTAGATTGTATTATTTGTGTACACTAATCCTATTTAGACGAGGTTCTGCTAGTAAACAGTATTGGCCATAAGTATACACATACCAATGTTTTATCAAACGTTTTATTTTCTTCTAAAGCAAACATATCAAGATTTTATTATTACAAATGGAACATTATATAATCGAAACGGATTTTATTAGATATTATCAAATGCTACAGTATTAAATCTCTGTAAACAAAAATATAAATATATGTTAGTCCGAAAATAAGTACACTCTGACAAAAGTAGATATGAATATGAATATTTTGTGTATCTTTATTTTTTTTACTACTACTTTTAGTTTTGATGATATTGACCTCGCCACATTCATTGGATTTTCCTCACTACGACAATAATTGTTTTATTTCAATTATGTCATGTTGGAGAGGTCGTTTTTCTACTTTCCGTTTAAGTTCATATCACAAGAGATCATTTGGATTTAATTTCGGTGACATCTTAATCGAGCATTTTTACTTCTTCGCAAAATGGATTCTTGATCTTCTTCCAAAATTTTGAGTGAAGTTTTTTGTATGTTTTTTTCCTGTTTTTTTTTCAGTATGTTTACGTAATCTTTATTATTTTTTATGATTTCCTCGATGAAACGCATTTCGCCAGTGCAATTAAAAATTCTACAGACTCAAACAATGAGTATTCCTTTAACATGTGTAACTGTTGAGACAAAGTGTTTTCTTTCTATACCTCATCATAACACTGCCAGACACGCCAGATGTCATCAGAAACAAATAAGTTGATTTTTGTTTCAACTGATTTGTATCTATCTAATCCTTTGCGAACATTAAACAAGCATGTTTTTGTCTTTAATTCAGTAGCAGTTTCATACGCAGCTATCGTCTATGTAAGCCGATCTTGTTCACGGTACGTTTGATTATTGTAATTAAAACATTCACGGCGCACACATTTGTGTTTTTTTTTTTTGGCTTTTTTTCATTAGCAAACATCCGTAACTGTTTTGCTTGTGTCTTCATTTATCAATAACCTGATTTTTTTTAAAATAAATTTGGTTATAGGTCAACTTGCAAAGTAAATCGGGATGATTTTGTAGATCTACGATTCTTCCACCTTACTTCCAATTTTGTACAATTTGACAACAATATTTCTGTTTAGTATCAGACAAGTAGCTATTTTTGACAACCATTTTGTTTGTGTAAATAACCAACATGTTCTTTAAAATTCTTTTCCACATGTGGACATTTTTTTATAAAACGTCTATACACTTAAAACTATTTTAACATTTCATGCCCTCTTTATATTCTTTATCTTTCGCAGAGGTCCTACTGATTTTTGAACTACTACATATTCATATTTTTGGGCGAAAGAGTTTTAATATTGTAGAGTTTGTTAATAAATAATACCTAATGATGTTTTGATTGTATAATGTTCCATTCAAAATAATAGAATCCTTATATGTTTGGTTTAGAAGAAAATCGCCTTTTTATAAACGTTTCGTAGCTGAGTATTAATCTATGGGCGATGATGTATCATTAACGGAATAGTAGCCTAGCAAGGGTAACTTATCCATTGCCCCCCCCCCTACTTTTCAACACAGTTTGCAAATTGAACTTTAAGGTCTACCATTAGCCGCATCATATCGTTGTCCTTAATCTCATCTGTCGTTTAAAATACTGGAAAACTCACAGGAAATGTAATCTTGATTTTTGGATGATGAATTATGCAGAAGAAAATGAATGCAGTGACATTCAGCGACGGTAGATAAACATTTACGGAAACCAACCAGTGGAACTGAGCACAGTTTGGTAGTGGAAAATACGTTTCTCCAGTATGAATAGTGATCTGTGTGGCAAACGATATTCTAGGCTGTCATCCTGCTGTGTATAGAAGCCGTTCAAAATACATAACCGATCATGCTAAGTGTGGAAAAATAGTGTTCTGTAGCTCAACTTGCTCTTATGGAGTTATTGTAATTCCAGTATGTTTGCATTTTTCATAGAAATAAATAGGAGGAATTACTTTCGAAGTGACCCTTTACACACATATCTATATATTTATCTTTCCAAAATTTATTTCAAGCCTTGTAACGGATCTACACAGACGCGATACACCTATTTTAAAGATGATTTTAAAAAATCTAACTTTAGTATACTTTTCGTTAAAAAAGGAAGCATATCCAAAAATACTGTTTAAACATTTTTTTTTCTTTTCGTGATTCTATTTTGTCTACTGGCTTAATAGTATATTACCTTGCGACCATATCACGTTGAAACACCGGTTCCCGTACGGTCACCGAGTTAAGCAAAGTCGAGATTGGTCAGTACCTAGATGGGTGATCGCTTGGGAATGCCAGGTGCTGTAAGCTTCAATGTGCGGGTGGTGCAATGGATTACAGAATAGTTAATCGGAGTTCTATTTCCGGTCGGGTTCGTTATATTCAGTTACGCGCAAATACCCTAGGAAAAAGTATGAATCCATCTCTACCCCCACTCCAACTATGGGTTAATTAGTTAGACATATCACTAAAACCATTATTATCTGCAAAGAAAAAAAATTAGAATTGCATACAAGATATTTAGATTTCGGCATTAAATAGCCTATAGAGGCCCTAAACACAACCGACTAATTATTAATGTTCTTTTTTTCTTCGGCTTACTATATTCTATTAGAAGCAAACGCTGAATAAGTTTCTCTATTATGTCTGCTAGATAAATAGATAGATATATGTGTGTGTGTAGTTTGACGACTTTACAGTACATCCTAGCTATTAATCTATTATGGCCAAATGAAAATCTATCTTTGGTGTAAGTAAGAATGTACCCTACATATTTATATCTATATTTTGTGTTTATTACCGCTCGAAACATTTTTCGATTTGAAATTCTTCCTTAACTTCCAAATCTGTCCGAAAACGTTTTATACAACTTCATAGAGTTTGTCTCATGAAAGTATTTCTTTTGATTTTTAATTTTTAGAATTCAGATTTAAAAATAAAATCTCCCAATCAAACGATAAGTTTAATCAGTATCGCAGTTTATAAGTATTTAAAGACTTTCAGAGAAAATTTACGAATAAATTACTTGTAAGAAATGTAACTTCACGGTCAAGTTTATCAACTGCATTTACCGAAAAAGTTATCGGAACCAAATGAAAATAGACCATTAATGAAGTCTCTATTTCTCTTTTCCAAGGAATGGCAGTATGAATCTTTCAAAAGTGTAAAGTAGTTGTTTTGATTGTATAGAAATGAAAATAATAGATATTTTACTGTTACACCAGGGAAGTGGCAATTTCTTAAATTAAATGCTGAGACAAATATTTCATTTTCTCGCGTTCTGTTTATATCTACAAGGTTATTCTTAGCCAATTACTTTTCACCGGTCGAGAGTAGTGCAATCGAAAGATATTTTCAAAGGCTACACTTTCTTCACTTGGCTGAAACTAAGTATTTCTCAGATCACTAAAAGTCATTTGCAGACGAGCAAATTTTCTAATGGAATCCAGTGTGACAGTGTAAACGGAAGTGCCTTTGAGAAAATGGTTTTAATTGGAATAGCTATTGACCTTGACTTTTATTGTAAGATTTTCTCCCTTACACTCAGTACTTCTCTTGTTCATCTAAGGTGCAGAGGTGCGAAGATAATATATTAAAAACTCAGCTAACCTAATAACATAAGAAACGAGAAAGAAAATTGAAATAATAAGAAACATTCTCTTAGAGCATTGGTGAGATCACAGAAGGGTGAAATGGTTAAGTTGGGGAGGGGCTATCGTTTGGCTTTCTTTGTTCAGCTTAAGTTTTGGTCATAACAGTTTGTCTCTTTCTTCAGTTGCTTAATCAGACAACAATCAAGAATTGAATGGCACTCGCTTCTGGCGGGAGAGAAATTAATTTTCACCTTTTCCTTCACTTGCAGCTTATTTATCGATTGCGAATAGCCAGTATTTCCTATTTCCCGACTGTAAACAGCTATGTCACTAATAACACCATTAGCCGACGCCCAAACAGTGAAATCAATCTTTTGTTCGAGTTGCTAAATTTATAGAAGTGTTTGTGATGGCGTCTTTACACACTAAAAAAAAAAAATTTTTTTTTTCCTTTTGTAAAATTTTATTACTAAAAAATAAAAATTTGGTATTAACCTTCAAAAAATCCAATAACAACAAGTAAAATTACTCATTTATACTCCAATAGTTAGACATATAAAAGTACATCTTGCATCACTAAATATATGTCCAGAGTGCTGAGCATAAGATAAAACTTTTGAAGATCTTTTTCCAGGGAAAAATAGTACAAAGTACAAGAAGAAGAACTCGTTCAACACTGTAATATGTCATATATATATATATATATATATATATATATATATATATATATATATATATATATATATATATATATATATATATAACTTTTTATACATAATGAAATTTTTATGTCAAGTTTTTTTGTAGGTTCCCTGTCAATTTGTGGTATTATGGTAGATGTAGTATTGAATGATGACGGATGTGTTCTTGTGGTGAATGAACGAATTGTAATGAGTGTATATTGGTCGTGAATCTGATTAGCTAGGTCTAGTATAGGAAGTGTTGAGCAGCCTTATCCACTTCCCCCTTGGGCGTGTGCCGCAAATGTTTCAATTGAAGCAATAAATGAATATATATATATATATATATATATATATATATATATATATATATATAATCTACTGGTATTCAAATGTTTGCGCTTGCGCTTCATTTTAACATCAGTTGATATTCTTGAGTTAAATCAGATTAGCTACTCTGCTTGAAGATTAAATACTTACCTCCATTACCATTGCCCTGCTAAATAGATATTTGATAAATTAAATTGATTACCTTAAAACCGAAGAGAAAGTGTTTTCATGAAATATCATGCTAATATTTAGAGAAAGATTTATAAAACATAAAATCTTCCTCTGCTGAAGTCTACTGCGTTTTCCACTTTCTAAAACGAAAATGCACAAGTCTACAATGGAAATGATGTATGCCAGCTTTGAACACTAGTAAAATATATTGGTGAAAACTAAGTTTTTCTTGTATAAAATTCAAAAGAAAAACTGTTAATACATAGCTGAAAAGAAAAACTGTAATATTTTGTTTTTAAAATATTGTTATTTTTTATATTCATCTTAAACTTATATTTTATATTAAGAATCAAAAATGTCTCGATTACTTGATTATCTAGCCAATACTTCACACTCATATCATTATCATCAATAAAAAACGGATGTCAGATTTCGTAGTACGTGTGACAGTCACAGTAGAAAATGTTGCTATATAATCTCATTAAAAAATTAACCACGTGTTCCAACTGACTAATTGACTGTTTAACGCTCAGATTTTCCTTTCCGCTTACATAGGACGTGCATATCTAATTAATACTGACATACATCTACGTATTATTAATAGACATATACGCCAAGGGATAGTAACAGAAATGGCTCTTGTTTGGAAAAGAACGAATCAATACCAAGTAAGATTGAATATCTTTTATATATTGTATCGTATTCTGGTTTTATCCTCGCCAACAATGTCTCTATTTAGCCAGTAACGTGTATATAAACTACCTATGTTTAACAGTGAAAGAGACGGGAGAGGTCTCTAATTTCTATTTGGCGAATTATAGAAGGACTTATCTTAGAATTCTGAAGTAAAATAATTAAGTTTTCGGCAAGTAAACTTTTGAAGAACCATTTTTTACATAAAAAACTTCCTGTTTACATTGAAGCCAGACTTCTACTGAATGTTTAAAAAGATACACACAGAAAAGAAAGAAAAAAGTGAATTCAGGGCTGCTATTGAAATAATTAATATTTACGCCTAATGCAGGTTTTCAAATTTGTCATTATGTATAGTATCATATGCAAATGAGTTTCTTGTTTAATATATTTAGAAATCAGTATTTACATTAGTCGGACTATTGTCCTCATCTTTGTCGCCATATTTGTCACAACGTTTCGGCTGTTGTACGCTCCGGCCTTCTTCAGGTGGTTGGAATTTCGAACTGAACCCTTTATTTCGATCACTGGGGTAGACTGTTCTAGTTCCACGTACCATGCTTGATGGATGTCAGTTATCAGTTATCTCCTGCCAATTTTCCCTCTGAATGCTCTCCACTGCCTTAACCAGGTATTGAACTCACCTTCTTTGAGTCTGTCACTGGATCTAACCAACGCCTTTATCCACTGTGCCATGTGTTCTTGAGGACATCTGGGTACGAACTTCTGAGTAATATAAACCTAATGTTTTCAGCATCATTTTTACCAGTGCTCATATTGCAATTTTGCTGTTATCATTACGTGTCTTTACCAGAGTTCATATTGCAACTTTGTTATCATTGCTTTTCTCTGGCACTCCTTATTACTGGTTCCCATATTGTATCTATTTCTATGCTTGGTCGGCTCAGGAGATTTTTGTGGCCTAGCATATGTGCTGATTCCTTAAGTTTACGAAGAAAAATCAGGCGTGGCTGGCCACATATGGAGAGAGAAGGGAGATCACCGCCCCCTGTGGGATCATGTTGAGATCATCGACAGCGAACACCATTGGAAAATAAGGTTTGGGTATATGAATGTGCGTTGAAGTTGAATGTTGTAGGTGTAAACGCTTATTCGAAACTTGTTTGATAAAAAGAAAGTTTAAACATTATAATAAATGTCATTAGTCACAGTTTACAGGAGAAAAAGGTAATTCAAATGTATTAACTTAGAAAAGCTCCATATATTTGTCGGTAAGTCGTTTGATCTCTAGCAGCTTCATTTATCATAAATTTGTGTAAATGAATTCAAACACTTTTGAACTGACTGACTACGACTTGTTGCAAAGTCTCGCATCTTTTGAAAAGATACAAAGTCGAATGTATTTGAATTTAGTCAAACCAACAGTTATTGGTTGGAAATTATATTTTATTACTCGTAATATGTTTTCGATCAGGTTTACGTTTTATTTTATGTTATTTTGATTGCTTTGTTTTGGGACTTGTCACTTATGTTGACCCTTTTTTGTGTGGTTTTATGACGTACCTTTGAAATCTTAACAAATTAGCTACTTTGATCATTAATGTTTAAATTATAGTCCCCGTCCAAATCAATGAAGGCTATCAAAAGTAGATTTACGCAAATATTTTCACATAATAGTCGAGGACAAGCAATGGATACAACACTTTATCTCATAATCATTAACAGACGCTGAAAACACTTGAAGGCTAAATAGAATGATAATAATGACAATTCTCTGTCGAAAGAAGAATTTTTACGTTTGTATCAATATTTTGGCAAAGAAACTAATCTGCAACATTGTACTAACGACTGTCAGTGACCAGTTGATGGTCAGTTATTTT